CACACTTTCTCAGCTGCATGAATGCGTTCAGCATGTGTTTTCTCTTGCCTGAAAGAGGTTTGTTTTGTCCCAGTTCCTGAACGTTGGTCCTGGGAAGCACGATGTCCTAATCTAGGTGATCCTCTGGTGCTTTAGCCCAGCAGCGAACACTTTAGCTGGCTCGAGTTTGTAGAAGTTACAAAAACGCTGCTCTAGCTTCCACTCTTTGCAGCTGTGAGTTACCACGACTTTGTTCAATGTTTGTCAGTTAATGGCATATTCACAGAGCATGGTTTCTGCTCGCTCTGAGAAGCTCATGGGTTTGGATAACTCTTGGAAGAACTACTGACATTTCAGATGGAGAAGCACAAAAAGTGCCTCGTTTCTGTGCGTATAGAGCATCTGTAGGAGCAAATGGAGAGGGAGAGATTGTCCTCTGGGGTAAATCAGTTGCAGCACTAGAGGTGAGGGCTGTTGTGTTTGTACTTTGTGCATGAAAAGACGGAGTGAATAATCAGGGCCAGGATCCCATGGCTTGCTTGGAAAACCTGAGTCTTGTTCTCACTGGACTGAAACACCTGGTTGCTCCGTGGTTAATTGTTGTGAAAGTGCTTTGCATGGACAGCCCATGGGGATCAAGCCATCTTCTGGCTCTGAGAGGGGACCTCCCAAGAACGTGGGCAGCTGCCTGGGAGATGATCCCAGGATTCTTTCCTGCCTGTCAGTGCATCGCTGCAGTTGGTGTTAAACAAACCACAGATTGGGAAGGAGAGCAAGGGAATAAGTAAGGGATTATCTCTCTGGCTTTGAAGCATACAAATAACTAAAGGACTGCTGAGATTAACCACTAAAGTGAAACCGAAACATTTAATCAGTCTTAAAAGCTGCTTGTTGCAGGTGTAGTGCAGAGCACCGGACAATATTACCCGGCCTGGCACGGCAAACCTGGCTCATTTGTCCTGCAGCAGGTCAGGTTCCCTGTGACTGGCATGCGGAAGCAGCTGGGTTGCTCTTTCAGAGCCACTGGCGCACTGTTTGTTACGAAACAGAAGTGCTAAGAGCAAAAAAAAGCGGTTTAGGATGTTGGCAGACGTTTTCCTTGCTTCCCTGTGTGTCTGTATTGACTTGCTCCCAGTGGCTGTAGTTCTCAGTGAATCGTGCTGCTGTTGGTGTGACTTGCACAGGATCACGTGGACGTTGCATTGGTTTAATCTTTGCTGAAGTTGGGTGAAATCTGTCCCTAGCATTGCTTAAGCAGACATGAAACTCGTTGTGCATAAGTCATAATTTTCCCTTTGCCTATTAATTGATTGATTGAAATTGTGCATCCTTTAGACTGTCCTGGAAAATCCCAGCCCATCCTGAAATGAAGGTGACTCGGGGTGTTCTGGGCTGCCCATCCCTATTCGTCACCTTAACATCAGATGATGGTATCAGAAGGGATTTCTGAAGTCTGCATGCCAAGCACAGATATTGATTTGGAGAGGGTTCTGCACTCGGGAATCTCACCGTCAATAGTGTCACCCTGGGGATAAATGTTACAAACACACCCAGAAATAAGGTGCTGAAGGTGGTGTCCAGGTGTCCTCATGCCATACACATGCAGCTATCAGGGTGTGATGAAGTCCTGATCTGTGGAACTGTTGATACTGCTATGAGCCGTAACACTTTCTTCTGTTCTGTGGTTTGCCCTGTTCCTTGTATCTCATCAGCAGATGAGCAAAGACTCTCCTGTGCTTTGTTCCAGGGGAAGCTATCCACACGAGCCTTTTTGGAACAGCTGTAGATGTGAACATCAGGCTGGACAGCAGCTCCTTGACAATTGAGAACACTTACCTGACGCTGCCAAACTACCGGTCTGTGGTCATCCACAATCAGAGTGACATCATCGCCCACTTCCAGTGGAAGGCTTTGGCTACTCAGAAAGAGGAGGATCAGCAGAAGCTGAGGTTGGTTTGAAACACTCATTTCACTGAGATGCACTGCTCTAACGTGTGGCCTCCAAGGGGTGTTGGTGCTTTTGAATGGTTTAGAAGGAGTAAACCATCCATGGTGTCGGGGGGTGTGTCCATGGGCCTCAGGGACCTCAACGCTTGAGTGATGATCTGGCCCGTTTTGGGACCCCGTGGCTTGGGGTCAGCCCCGTGCGGAGCCGCTGCTGCTGCTGGTCCCTGTGTGCGCTGCTGCCCCTGCGCTGACACGACAGTCTCTGCAAACGTGGTGCTTATTAAATTGTCCACTTGTTTGTCTCTCCCCGTCACTGCAGGCGGTGTCGCGAGCTGCGGAGGCAGGAAGAGGATGAGACGGATCGCTCCTTGGACCCCGTTCTGCGAGATCGCTCTTCCCTTCTCTCCCGCACCTTCCAGCACCGGAGAGCAAAGGTGCGAGGAGACGCCATGCTGTTCTCCAATGACGTTTTCAGCATTGAGCCGGTGGTAAGCGATAGCTGAGAGCCTCCCTTCCTCCTCCTCCTCCTCCTCCTCCTCTTCCTCCTCCCTGAATGAGATCCCCGCATCAGTTGGCTCGATGCGCCGAGAGAGGAAACGCCAGGTTCGGAGTGAGGCTGGGAGAGCTCGTTGCAAAAAGCCTTTTCTGAGCTTTGGGCTCCTGAGCGGCCGTGAGAAGCTGCCACCAGCTGAGCTGGGCTGCACGGGCTGCAAACTGGGGTGTTGAAGTGTCCTTGCCGTGTTCAGAGGGATCGATCGCTACACGTAGGGGCACGCCTTGCACATCGTGTGTGGGGAGTAACAAAGGATGTCGGAGCACTGGAGGGGACGTATCGACCTGAAGAATGAAATGGTCGTCTGTGGAAAGGAGGCCAAATTCAGCCCCGGTTTAAACACAGAATTACCACTTCCTTCATACAACCTCGACTAAGTCTGAAGTTCTCTTCCAGTGTCATCTGGTAGCCTGAACACAGGCTGACCGGTTTAAACAGACTTTGAGTTGTATTGCACATAGGTACAGAACGTTTTTTGCTTTTGCAAACCCCCATGTCCTTCAGTCCGCCAGAGCCCTGGTACTGAGTATTTGCATGGTCTGAGACGAAGAACGCCTGCTGTCTGAGCAGTGCAAAATCCCTTCTCCTCTTGGAGCAAACCCTAGAATAATCCCAACCTCTTCTTTCTTGTAAATCAGGTGAAACTAATTTATTGTTTTTCCACGGAAGGGGGTCACGTTCTCTTCTTGGTTACCCCTATAGCCGATATAGGGCTGAGAGCCACCGAGGTCAGCACAGCTGCAGTGTCACAGCACTGTAGCTGACAGCAGCACGCTGTGACCCAGAGATTGTGTCAGAGCAGCAGGAATATTGC